CTGAAGAATATGCAGGCATTGGACTAAGCGATGACTTAACAAAAGAACAAAGACAGGAATACAAGATGCTGGTTGAAAAAGCTAAGAAATTGGAATCTGATGATAAACGAGGTTTTTTATTCCGGGTCAGAGGACCGGTTGGAAGATGGAAAATAGTGTCGTTTCCAATGAAAACGAAACAAAACACACCAGTAGCATAAGCACGGAAGAGGTGATGTTTAGAAATGATGTGATGAGTGATTGTAATGTATTGCTGGGAATGTTAAACATTAGATCAATTAATTCAAACTCGGATAAAGTTTACGAAATGATTCAAGACGGCTTAGACATTCTTGTTTTGGTAGAAACGTGGCATGGTTCCACAGAAAATGTATCAGCAAAGTCATCGATGCCACCTGGGTTTAGATATGTTGATTTCTTGAGGTTGAATGATCCGCATCATGGGGGAATAATAGTATTCTTTAAATCAAACTTCAAATATAAAAAGATTGATCTGCCTCCTTTTGACACGTTCGAAGTTGTCGCTCTCAAATTTGTTATAAACAGTAAAGATTTTGTTTTGTTATCTCTATACAGACCTGGTTCAGTTCAAGTGAATGCATTATTTTTCGAAGAATTGTCAAAAGTTTTAGATAACATAACACTCCTAAGTTCGAGCATATTGTTGGTTGGTGAATTTAACGTTCACATTGAAAGATGCAATGATCGTCACGCAAACAGACTACTTGATCTATTTGAAACGTTTAATTTAACCAACCTGATCAGTGAGCCAACTCACGAACGAGGTGGAACACTCGACCTGGTTGTTTGTTCTGAAAATGTTCATGTTTCAATTAGTAATATATTTCCTAGTGGTGTGTACTCCGACCACAGTTTGATACATGTTAGCATACCAATTAAACGAATATGTCTTAAAAAAGTTCGCAGATTAGCTAGATCGTGGAGAAAACTTGATGAAAATCTGTTTTTTTCGTATGTTGCAAATTCTCCGTTATCAAAGCCATGTCAGAGTCACGACGTAAATTTTGAATTTGAACTTTTCAATGATGAAATGAAGAAAATTGTTGATAAAGTTGCGCCCCTTCACTTTATAGAACACAGATGCGATTTGATAACTCCTTGGTTTGATGATGAATGCAGAGCAGTTAAAAAACTTTGTCGACAGAAAGAAAGGAAATATAGAAAATATTTATCATCTGCCTGTCGGAGTGAGTGGATTGCTGCTTTGCGAAATAAAACTAAATGTTTCTCTAAAAAAAGAAATTGTTATTGGAAAACACTGGTAAAGGAAAACGACGGAAACCCTAAAAATTTTTGGAAAGTAATTAATAAAATCATTTGCAAAAATTATGATAATGAATCGTCTCAGGAACATGTAGACATCACTTGTTCTCAATTTATTGATCATTTTGAAGAAAAAATCACCAAAATAAAACGAGACACCAAAGTAGTTGACAAACCAGTTTTTGATGGATGTAAATTAGACAGTGGTTCTTTGTTTTCAAATTTTGCAGTGGTTTCAGAAGAAGATGTAAAAAAAATTGTTCTTAATCTGCCATCTAAATCTTGCATGTTAGACGTCCTTCCTACTCACATTTTGAAAAAACATATAGACCTCTTCATCTCGTTTCTCACGAGTTTAGTTAATTTATGTTTGTGTGCTGGAGCACTTCCTGTTTCTTGCAAGCATGCGGTTGTGATACCCATCTTGAAAAAAACAAACGCAGATTTTAATGAGCTCGGAAACTACAGACCAATATCTAACATTTGTTTCATCTCCAAAATCATAGAACGTGTCGTAGTAGGTGAACTTGTAAATCATTTAAATAAACATAATTTGTTCCCGATTCATCAATCTGGATATAAACGTTACCATTCTACAGAGACGGCATTGTTATATGTCTTGTCCGAATTATTTGCCTCCATCGACAAACAGAATATTGCTCTACTCGCATTTTTGGACATGAGTGCAGCGTTTGACTGTGTCGATTATCAAATTCTATTGAACAGATTAATTCACGACTTTGGCATTGCTGGAACTGTTATCAAGGGGTTCGACTCCTATTTGACTGGAAGGACTCAACAGGTATTTTTCAAAGGGCATCTGTCTAGTGTAAAAACAAAGTCATCCGGAGTGCCACAAGGTTCAATACTTGGACCTATTTTGTTCATACTGTATACAGCTGATGTATTTAATGTAATTGATACTTTTGGTTTTTCTTATCATGCATATGCCGACGACATTCAAATAATAGTCAGCAGTGAACCAGATCAGTTCGAAAGTGCAGTTGAAAGACTAATAAAATGTTTGGCTGAAGTTGACTCAGGGATGTCAAAAAATTGTCTAAAACTTAATCAAAATAAATCACAGTTTTTACCAGTGGGCACCTGGCAGCAGCTATCAAAAGTAAAAATTGATTCAATAATGATTGAAGATAATGAGATAAAATTTTGCAAGAAGGCTACCAATTTGGGATGTATTTTTGACACTAAATTAAAACTTTGTGACCACATAAAATCGCAATCTAAATCATGTTCAGCACAACTTCAACAAATATACCGAATAAGAAAATATCTGGATCAAACTGTAACACAATCATTGGTTCATGCGTTTGTCCACTCGAGATTGGATTGTTGCAACAGTCTGTTTTATGGGTTGCCAGAAAGGTCTATCGCTGACCTCCAATCTATTCAGAATAGAGCTGCAAAGGTGATTGTTAGAGGCAGAAAATACGATCATGTGACGCCAATTCTGAATAGCCTCCATTGGCTAACAGTGAAGAAACGAATTTTTTACAAAATATGTGTCATTATGTACAAGGCCATAAACGGACAACTCCCAGAATACTTGGCTGATAGATTCATAAAGAAGCCGCTGTCTTCGACTGGCAGACGCATGCGATCAGATGACGTCAATTTGTTGATTGTACCAACTACGCAGCTGCAGACATCGTCTAGAGACATTGCAGTGTCGGGACCAATCGTCTGGAATAGTCTGCCAATGTCGATGAGAATGTCAATGATGAACATTGTTGATTTCAAAAAGAATTTGAAAACTTATCTATTTGCGATGAACGATTGTAATTGATTGTATCATATCGTCTATTGATAGGATGTACATTATTTCACTGTTCGTTTTTTATTTTTCTTTTTTCGATAGCGCTTGTGAGAGATTTTAATAGGCGCTTTATAAGTGTTTGATAATAATAATAATAATAATAATATATGCATACATACATACAACATACATACATACATACATACATACATACATACATACATACATACATACATACATACATACATACATACATACATACATACGTACATACATACATACGTACACGCATACATACGTAAGTATGTGTTTCAACATCAGCACAATGCAGTTGTATAAACTCGATAAACGTTATATTAATGAGGTTTCATAGAAATAAGAGGCACATACATTCCACGTCAGTTTTGTGTATATAACTTATAATGCACCACCACATTCATTTTCAATATGTTTTCTTAAAAATATTTATGCTCAAGGCATTTTCTCCAAAAAAATATTCGTTTTTCATGCTTATTCTGAAGAATGTTCATTTATTTTCTTAACCAGAAGCACAAACTAGTTTCATCTCAGCAGCGCAATGCATCAGCCATTATCAGCACAAATGCAAATTCCTGCCATCAAACAATTGCATCGCCGACAATTCACCACAATCAACCTCAACAACTACAACAACAGCGACTACAACAACAACCACAACTGCCTCCTCCTCAGCAACAAATATATAATGGCCTTCACGACATATTAGAAGCGATCAGTCAAGATGAACTTTACCAACAACAACAGCAGCAGCAACAACAACAACAACATCAGCAGCGGCAACAACAAAATAAAATGCATCTTCCCACCATCAACAGCAATGGCCATTCACAAACTGCAGCAACTACAACATCTATTCAGCAACAACAGCAGCAACAGCAGCAGCAACACATCATCACATCGACGACATCAACCACGAAAACAACTACAACTTCAAGCACTGCCTCTACAACTACCAACAAATATACACCTGAACTACAAACTTTATTATCTAGTATCAAGTTCAACAATCAACTCGACTCCTCCCATTTTTTTCCTCCCACTGGCCAATCAAATCATTTGAATCTATGTCGTGTTGGCCTACATAACGACAAAATGGTTGGTTGTTCTTTTTATTTGTTTTGTTTATTTATTTGACTGTAAACATCCTCATCGTCTCCATCATACTGGTCACAAGTGTTTCAACTTTTTATTATTTTTGCATCTCCAACCATTGTTCTACATGTATTTTAGTCAGTTGTTGTGGATTCATATTAAAAAATGAAAAAATTTATTTCATTACATCCAGTCTAATTTCTTTTCTTTTTAATTGGTTAATGATTTCTGTGATTTTATTTTTGAAATTTTAAAACCTATATTATTTTAAGCTTTTCTTTAAAATAATTAACTGATTAGCTTCTGAATTTTAAGGCTTATTTAAATAGATAAATGGCAGGCTATAATAGCATGTATCAGTGGTTTGGGTGTTGATGTTTATTTCATTGATTGATTTATTATTCAACTGTAATAATTATGTCAATTCTCCAACAAGTTCTATTGAATATGAATGTCTTTAGCCAAACAATGTTATAATGAATGCAATATATCTGAATATGTGAGAAAGATTAATGATGAGTGTGGTGATGATGATGATGATGATGATGATAAAGATGTTGCTGATGATGATTATGATGATGTTGTTGTTGATGATGATGATGATGATGATGAATACAATGTGGTGTTGGTGATGATGATGGTTTGGAGGGTCCTGCTTTGCTTGTGCTATTTCTTAATATTAATGATAATGACAATAATGATGTGAATATGTAAGAAAGGTTAATGATGATGATGGTGATAATGTGAATATATAATATTGAATAGCATTATTAATGATGGTAATATTTTTCATAACCATTGTTTATATTGTCAGGTCCTTGAAGCCACTGAAGATATAGTTACTCACTTGCCACTCATTGAGTATGTTGGTAATGTTATGTTGAGAGATCAATATATGGGAAGGTTTGTATTTGTAAATGTCTTTTATTCGTTTGTTTGTTTTTTTGTTTGTATGCTTTCATGTATGCACATATGTTTGTTTACCTTTTTTTATATGTGCTTGCTGTTTGTATGTGGTTTGTTTGTATACATGCATGTGTTTTGATTTGACCATTTTGTATCAATGTGTGTTTTAATGTTTTCAAGTATTTTTGTGTATTATGTGTATGTGTGTATGAATGTATGCATGTTGCATATATGTGTATAAGCATGTTTGTATCTATGTATATTTGTCTTTTGTATCATTTGTTTATTTTCATGCTAGCTAGGCTGGATGTTTGGTTGGCAGGGAGTGCTGCTTTGTTTCTCTTGACATTGATTGATATTGTTGTATTTTTATATTAAAATTTGTTAAATCTCTATTTAGGCTTGTTTTTTTACGAGGATGATAAATTTTTTCATCAATGTTAATGCCCTCTTATGTTGATTTAATGGTGTTGCTGGGACAGTTATGTTGTTGTTGTCGTTGTGTTGCATGCAAGTATTTTAGAGTCGTTGTCGTTTTGTTGTTGTTTACATGTTGGTACCATGTTGCTGCTGCTGTTGTTGTTTAGGTCCGTTTCCATGACTACCAGCATTGTTGTTGTTTAATAAATTGATTTCAAAAAATTAAATAAAGAAGATTAACGAAAAAAATAAGAACCCCAGAAAATTTTTAATTGTCATTCTGTTGTTTTTTATTCTACGTTCAAAGTTATATATCAAGTTATTTTAAAAATTTTACGGAAAGAATTTCCGTTCTGAAGAATGATCAAGAATATAAATGATACATGTGCATGCACTGTTTGAAAAATTTTGTAAAAAGTTAAAAAAAAGAATTTGTAACTAATATTCATAAATAAATAAGATTCAATGGATGATGGAATGAAGAAGGGCATGGCTGAATGGGAGAAGTGCAAACTGCTGTAAAAAAAAACAATAAATGCCTTCACAAATAATTAATGCATAAAGGAATGAATGCATAATTAATATGTAAACAACTTCTTTTTTTTCATGATATTGCATCACTCATTCAACATTCTTCACACATCACAAGCCTACAGACAAACACAAAAGCCATGCATACAACTTTTTATCCAAATAAACATACGAACAACCATGTGTACAAACAAATCAAACAAACATACACGCATACATTTAAACATTCATGCTCGCAAACATAAATACGTACATAAACAACAAATGAGCAAACTTGTGTGTACGTAAGATAGATCCTCCATAGCAAATTAACATATACATGCACATATACAAACAATACAAACATGGTAAAAACAATTGTAAAAAATTACATACATACTCACTAACACACATACAAACAAACAAACAAACAGCTGGCAGCCTCACGTTTTGTTCTATTCTAAGTTTGGAGGTGTGGATTTGTGTGTGGATGCAACAAATACCGGAAATGAAGCCAGGTTCGTCAGGAGGTCATGCACACCTAATGCTGAGGTTGGTTGTTTGGATGCGAAAGGTAGTTGGTTGATTGATCATTAGCTGGTTGATTGATTGTGATTGATTGTGATTGATTGATTGATTGATTGATTGATTGATTGATTGATTGATTGATTGATTGATTGATTGATTGATTGATTGATTGATTGATTGATTGATTGATTGATTGATTGATTGATTGATTGATTGGTTGATTGGTTGATTGATTGGTTGATTGATTGATTGGTTGGTTGATTGATTGATCATAATAAGAAATTATATAGAAAATAAACTTCCCCAACCACCAGATCCAGCATTCACTGCAAGGCAACAACCTTCGTTTCTTCATCCATGCCAGCAAAAGCATTATAGCAGGAGCCGAGATCACCATTGCTTTTGATTTCAATTACCACAAATGGTCTGCTTTTGTTTTTTTTGCCGTATTTTATGTTTTTCTTCTTTTTCTGTTTGTTTGTTTTTTATAACTTAGTTCGTTCACCTTTGTGTGCTTTCCTGGAAATTTCATATTAAAAGAGGCAACGAAAAAAAAACATTTCTCTTCAATTTTCATTAGTTGTTGACTAAATTTTCAATTGTTTCACCTATTTACAATATAATAAACTTTATTTATTATTAATTAATTAATTAATTTATTTATTTTATTGTTTGTTTATTCATAGTTTCTAAATATTTACATATAGAGCAGATGTTATCACTCTGTATAGTCATTCTCTCATTTCACTTTAACATTGGGGGCTTGTTTCAAGCTAAAATTTTTGCTGAATTGATAAAGTTTTCTTTCCTTTCGATTGTTATTAGCATTTTTCTCTTGATGTTGTTATTATTATTATTATTGCTGTTATAATTTTTGGTGTTTTTTCATTGAGAAAACTGATCCAAAGATGGTTTAATGGCGTTAACTGTTTTTATTACTGAAACGAAACGAAATTTATTTTACATCAAAGAAACTTGTCATGTGTAGTTTCTAATCAAGATTTCTTTACACATGCTATTTATCCCATTTTAAAATGTTACCCCGTTTTCATTTTTGGATCTCTAGTTTTTTTTTTCAGTTTATCCATCCATTGCTCATAAATGATACTCTCTCATTTGTCCTTCATATCCATTGATTTATTTTTTTCATTTTATATAATTATCTGTTTTGTTCAAATTTATTAATTTTTTAATAATTCATATTGATTTATGTAACAACACCTGCAGCGGTTTTGCAGTCGAATGCGCGTGCACACGATCCTCATGCCCCGTGCTGAAGTTTCAAAGGAGAGAACACCACCAGAAGTATGTTATTGCTGTTGTTGATGTCACTCATTGCTCGTTGATGTCATTGCTGTTGTCGTTGATGACGTTGATTGACGTCAGTTTTGATGTTTCTGCTGCTTCTGCTGCTTATTTGTAGGAGATAACGCAAAGTCTGTTGGTATTGTTTTTATGATGTTATTAGTTGTAATTGTTATATTGTTATAAATTATGTTTTAACTGGAATGGAATGTTTTTTTTTAGTTATTGAAAACATTAGGTTATTTTATGCTATGTTTTGCTATGTGCACCGTGCAAGACATCGGGACATGATTTAATTGCTAACAACTACTGCTGTGGAATGATGAGAATTCACACTTTCCATCCTTCCATCATCCACTTCATTCATTCCTTCTTGCTCATGTCTTATGCACGTTTCCTTAGGTGTTCGCAAATTTGTTTGTTTTTGTTTGTTTTTTTCCGTCAATTTATTCATTATTTATTATTTTAAACTCTTTTTGTCTTTTTAATGGTAGTTCTTGTCTTTCTCTTTCTATTTTGTTTATTCGTTTTTTTTTTAAATTTTTTATTCTAAGCTCAAGTTTTCAGTGGAAATGTTTGCAGGATATATTTATTTTTCGTTTGCAATGACTGTCATGTGCTGATGGTGGCGTTGTTGTTGTTGATGATGTTTTGTTGTTAATATCGTTGTAAATGTTGTCTGGTTTCTTGGTATTTTTTTTGCGATAATTTTGTGAAATCATTTCAGCTCGATATTGAGTACCTTATCTACCATTTACTGCATTAACAGTGTTCAATATGTTGTTGTTGTTTTTATTGTAACTACAATGGTTGAAGTGTTGCTGCAGAGAGGATGTTGAATATTATACTTGTTGCATAAGGATATCAAACAATTCGTTTTAGTCCTTATTATTTAAGAAGGAGTAAAATAAAATGTTACACACCTTCATAAATAAATGGTCTATTGGATGGTAGGTATGTAGAAGGACGTAAAATATGAATTGTGAGATGGTTAGATAAGATGTTCAGCTCTTCAAATGCTCTATCTGAATTATCTCTACAAATTTTCAGTGGTGTTTCTCTATCCAGCAGGGCTATCTACCAAGAATATTCTTGGGTGTTTTTGTTCCATTCTTTCTTTTCATGTGCTACAGTCAACGCTTGTAGTTTTGTTACATTAATTACTATATTTTATTAATATTGTTTTTATTATTCTACTAATACTACTATTGTTGTTGTTATGGGATTATTTTGAATTATGTTTTGTTGTGCACACTGTACTGTATTTATTTATGTGTTTGTTTGTTTTTGTTTGTTTGTTTGTTTGTTTGTATTCCTTTCGAGTTTAAACTTCGTCTTCTTCAGCTCTACAGTATTTATGATTTATATTGTTGTTTTGTTTTTTGTACTTATACCATGCCATTAACCTATAATCTGAGATTCTACTACTTACTGACTTTGTTTTTTTCTATGTGATTGTTAATATTTTTATATGAATAGATGGATGCAAGTGAATAACAATTAGGCTTTTGTCTGATCATTGTAGCAACCGTTGCACATTTCAATTCAAAGGTGGTGTACTATTTGCGTTTGAAATTTTCAAATCAGTCTTCACGTTCGATTTATTTGATAGTATTGATTTGATAGAGTCATGTTGTTTAATATAAATCTTTCAATTCAATCAATCATATTTAGAGGACACCACTTCTGCCTGTCGAGAGTTGAAAACATACAGATTACAATAGCACATGCATGCTAAATGAGTGCACCTATGTGTGGCGTGCAAAAAAAGCAGATCACGTATTTAAGCATTGATGGTCAAATCAAGAATTTGCATTTGTTAGCATTCAAACGGGTCACCGCTAAGCAGTATATTAATCAGTGCTTCTAATATCTGAAAAACAAAATATTTGTTTTAAGATTTTTTATTATCCATTTTCTTTTCAATGATTTCTAACAATTTATTATTCAGATGATGTATCTGTGGAAATGTTCATTAACTAACAGCCGTTCACTATTAACTTTGATATGGCAGAAATAATATTATTCTTATAGTGTTAGATGAGTTTAGCTACATATTCACAACCATTATTTATTTTCTCAAGGAACTATAGCAAGGTTCCATCCAGCAGTCATGCAGCTGGAGGAGCGCAGGTGAATGGAAGAACAAAATCAATCTCAACCTCCACACCTTCATCTTCTCTAAATGGATCATTACATGCCTCGTTTGGGTCATCATTTTCATCATTTGGGCCGTCCAGGGTTGAGGTTTGTTGGATGAGTGTGCATTAGATGGATATCCCTTCTTAGATGTGCATGTGCATGCATGCATCTCATGTGATATCTCTTGTTTTTATTTATGTTGTCTGCATGTGTTTGTGTTATAACTGAATTGTTATATGCTCAGTCCAGATAATATATTTCAGCGTTGAATGTCGTTTGCCTGCAAATAAGAGGAAACAAATGATCAACATCCTAAAAATTTAAGAATAATCCTAATAATTTAAAAATCACAACAGCGAAATTGTATTACTTTTTGTACATTTTATGCTGTCTTTAACGTTTTGTTAAATAATGTTGGCAATGTTTTTTAAATTATATTGAATATTTATTTGATGATTTTCAATTTTTCCAGTTCCGGGAGAGCAGCAGCAGTATCTCAAGAGCACCACCTCCACCATCACGAACAGTTGCAGCAACAAATGTTGTATCATCACCTCCATCGTCGTCGTCGTCGTCATCTTCATCATCCACGTCGCCATCATCCAAGCATTATTTCTCCTCTAGTACGCAGCTAACAACAAGCATCACGACTTCAACACCACCATTCCATCCCACATCATCAACACCAACATCTAACTCCAAGCACAAACATTCTTACTCGTTCTCATCTTCTTCATCGTCATCTCCATCGCCAACTTATGCAAAGAAAAATATTTCACCAGTAAATAATTCAGCAAAAAATTTCACATCAGCAGCAACAACAATAACAACAGCAACAACGACAACCCATCATCAACAGCAGCAACAACAACAACACACATTACACTCGAAAACATCTCAACATAGAAGATCTTCAGAAAATGATCATCATAATCATAATCACCACCAACAACAACAACAATCATTGGCAACATCAAGCTGTGGTAATGAGGAAGGCAAGAAAAAGGTTTAGACGAATGCTTTCTATTTAAATATTTGTAACTTAAACTTACATTTGAATGCTGACAAGATTGGTGTACTATTCAGGCGTGCTTGGGTGTGTCTGTTTATTACTGGTGTTGTTTCGTTGTTGTGCATATAAACTTAGAAGTTTAAATTCTTTAGTTTCTCCGGTTTGTGCATGCAGGTTACGTTTAAGAGACAAATTTATTCTAATAATATATGTCTATATTTTGTTATTTATTGTTTCATGGGAGTCAACTCTAGATAAGCATTTATTACTAGGCTGACTCTTTCACTTTTTTTGTGAATAAAATGGATTTAAAAAATATAAAAAAATGTTGGTTATTATGGAACAAATAATTTTTTCAATTGGACTGCAGACCAGGGAAGAGAAGAAGCTGGAAGCATACGTGAAAGCCTTTGAAAGGTTGGAGAAGAAGGAGGAGAGGATGAAGGGAGTGCTTGCTCGGCGAGAAAATAAGAGAGCTGCGGGCAGGAGGGGTAGGAAGGTGGCGGTTGCAGCTGCTACGGTGCCGACAGAGGAGAAGAAGATCAAGGAGGATGTTGATCTTGAAGCTGATGCTGCCGCTGTTCTGGCCTCATTTTCTATTGGGCAGAATTCAGAAGTGGCTGTTGAATCTAACGTTAGTGGTGACTCACTTTTCAATTTTTAATGTTCAGAATTATACTTATTATAACATAATCTTTGTTATTATAGTTACTGGATAAATGTTTTCCTTATTATTAAACATTTTAAATTTACACATATCCAGAGGAGCCTTTCAAACAAACATGAAGATGCACTACTTTCAGCAGCAGTAGCAACTATCATTTCGACTCCTCCTGCAGCACCACAACACTGCATTCAGCAGCAGCAGACGTCGTCAAATTCACCACCAAGAAGAAGATCAACTGGAGTCTCCAGCCAAGAACTTGAGGATGTGCTTCATGAAGAAAAGTTGGAATGGGAGGAGGATCCCGATAGATATGGCATCTACAAATCAGTTAGTGACTGACTATTTAATACGATTTTGTCTATCTGTTTATTTATTCTTGAAATGAGTAAATTTTTCATAATTTTGGTATGCTTTATTTTTATGTAGTACCATCGGTCAAAAAGTCAGAAAAAAGTTTGCAGCCAACAACAGCAGCAGCTATCGTCAAATGTTCAAGAGGAAGAGCCAGCAAAAGAACTGCAATATGACCAGCAACAACATTCACAAAAAGAAGGTCATCAGCAGAGGTCATCTCTCTATGAATCGATTTCGGAAGTTTGCTTGGATGCTGCAACTGCCCTTTCATTGATGTCTTCCTCTACATCTCACTTCCCACAACCTTTATCGTCACCAACTTCATCGAGTCCATCCACATGCTGCTCTAACATCTCTTCATCATCTTCATCGTCAATGATGCAGTCATCATCGCCTGTCACGCATATGTCCAACTGTTTGGAGTCATCTCTGTCTTCCTCATCTTTATCATTTTCCTCTCATCATCTCAATCATCACCCGGTAGAGATATCATCACCCTCGCTTATGATGGCAGAGCAAGAGGGCAAAGGGTGCTCTGCAAAAAAAGTTTGTCATTTCGCTTTTTATTTTTGCTCTTGTTGGATGAATTGTCAGAACTATTTTTAAATTTTGTAACAGATTTTTAAATCCTTGAATTTAAATTGTATCTTAATTATCCTTTGTGTTATTTTTCTCATGTCAAATGCAAAAAAAGTTGTTCACTTCTATTGAAAAATTTATTAGAAACCTCATTATTATTTTGAAAATGCTTCTTACTTTGAATAGAGATGGCTGAACAGAGCAATGATAGAAACTCCTC